CAAGATATAGAAGGCTTCTCAGCAGGGATTTATATTATTAAAATATATCTCAGGAAATTTCATCTGGCAGCAGTATTTATGGATTTGTGAGTAGAAGAAATTGGAAATAAAGAGTGTAAGATGCTGTTATGGGAAACAGGTGTGAGGGCTTAGAGAGGAAGAGAGAGGGAGAGAGAGAGATTAAAACATAAATGGTGAGAGAGATACCATTGATCAGCTGCCTCCTGCACAACTCCAACTGGGGTTCGAGCCCATAACCCAGGCATGTGCCCTGACCAGGAATCGAACCGCGATCTCCTGGATCCTAGGTCGATGCTCAATCGCTGAGCCAGGCATGACTGGGGAGATGTGAAGCACATATTTTTGTAGAGGAAAACAGGATGAAAGTTCTGAGCTTTAAATGATAACATAAACCGAAGGGATATGTTTGTAAACTATGAGATTGGAGCACAATTGAGATGTTCAGGCTGTGGACTTTTGGTTTGTTATTTATCATCATTGTGTAGAGAGTCAGGACATCACTTTAAGTTCTGTTTTTGTTTAGTTCTAAGCTATAACCCTTTGCAAATCAATCTATTTTTCCCTCTGGAAAAGGGAAAAATAAAATTAATAGCTATTTTATTATTTATTATGTGCTGGACAGTACATTAGGCTTTCCTATGAGGTAGGTCCTGAGTCATTTCTGTTTTACAGATTAGCAATCTGAGGCTCAGATAGCTTATATGACCTAAGATGGCACAGCTAGGAAGTGACAGAGCTAGGATTTGAACCAATGACTGCCTGTCTCCAAAGCTACTGCTTTTAACCAGTGATGCAATACTGTTTTCACTGTGCCTCACTACAATATGTACCTTACCTCTTTTACAGTTAAACTGTATATTTATGAAGTGCTTACTAACTGCCATATTCTGTGCTAAGTGCTTTTTATGCGTTGTTTTACTTAATCATCTAACAAACCTATGAGATTGCCATAATGTTTTTTATTGAATTTAGTGGGGTGACATTGGTTTACAAAATCATACAGGTGTCAAGTGTACAACTCAGCAAAACATTATCTGCATTCTCCACTGTGTACCCATCTCCCCAAGCAGAGTCCCTTTCCGTCCCCATTTTCCTTCCCTTTGTCCACCCCCACCCAGCCCCCACCCCTTCCCTGTGGCTCTCACCGCATTGTGGTCTATGCCTATGGGTTATATATATATATATTTTTTCTTAATCCATTCTTTCATCCAGCTCCCCAACCCCCCTCCCCTCTGACAGCTGTCTGTTTTATATATCCATGCCCCTGTTTCTATTTTGTCTGTCAGTTTATTTGGTTCATTAAATTCCACATATAAGTGAGATCATATGGTATTTGTCTTTCTCTTACTGGCTTACTTCACTTAGCATAATAATCCATCCATGCTGTTGCAAAAGGTGAGATTTCTTTTTTTATGGCTGAGTAGTACTCCATTCTGTAAATATACCACAGCTCTTTTATCCACTCATCTACTGATTGGCACTTGGGCTGTTTCCAGATCTTGGCTATTGTAAATAACACTGCTATGAACAGAGGATGCATATATTCTTTTGAGTTAGTGTTTTGGGTTTCTTCTGGTATATTCCCAGAAGTGGGGTCACTGGGTCAAAAGGCAGCTCCATGTTTAATTTTTTGAGGAAACTCCATACTGTTTTCCACAGTGGCTGCACCAACCTGCATTCCCACCAACAGTGCTTGAGGGTTTCCTTTTCTCCACACCCTCGCCAGCACTTGTTTGTTAATTTATTGATGTGTATGTTTAATAGATGAGGAATCACTTAGAGGGTAATTTACTTTTCCAAATTCATATAGCTGGGAACTAGCAGAACTGTAATTTATTCTTTAAATCTATGATTTCGGAGCCTATATGCTTTTTCTTATTAAAAGTCATTTTGAGGATAATTTTCTTAACTTTAAGGTATAAAGCAAATAGTCTTTAATTAGTAGTGGCAGTGTTAACTATTAGCAGCAGCAGAATAGTGTAAAGGTGATGCTTGAAGCCATGGAGTGCATGAACTATCCAAGGGAATAAATTGACAGTGGGGAACGTCTTGGAGAGAATTATGAGGGATATTTATAATTTAGGAGCAGTAGGAAGGAAAGGAGTCATAGAAGCATAACAATAGCTTAGAAAATTTAGTGTCATGGAAGCCCAAGGAGAGTAGTCACAAAGATTTGAGATGTCAGTGGTATCACATGCCACATAAAATTTGAAAAGGGTAAAGTCATTGGACTCTCCCAGCACACTGCTACTCATGCTGAGACACCAGTAAACGGAACCACCATTCATCCAGCTTCCAATGCAGAAGGCTGGGAATTTTCCTTATTGGTTTTTTTTTCTTTAAGCTTTTCTCACTCTGTTCAATTAATCATTATTTCAGCCTCCTTAACAGCGCTCTCAAAAGATCTGCCCTGTCCTCTCCATCCTCACTGCTACTACCTGTTCAGGAAATCTTCACTCCTGCCTAGATTCCTCCAGCACCTCCTCAGGTCTTTCTGCGTCTTGGCTTGTTGCCCCACCAGCCTGTCCTCCACTGTGCAGGCAGAATGTTTCTAAAACGCAAATACAGTCAGGTCCGTTTTGTGCTTAGAACCTCCCCACAGGTCCTCATTGAACTCAGGATAATGATGTAGCGTGGCCTGTGGAGGCCTATAAGATTGGCCTCTTTCTCGTTTTTCAGCCTCATATCATTATTACTCTTCTAGTTATACTGCAGTTATGCCAAGCTTATTTCAATTTCTAGTACACAGCCTGTGCTCTGGGACTTAACACATTGCTCCTTCTGGAGCAGCTTTTCCTTCTCTCCTGTCCTCTCTCTTTCCCTCTCTCTCCCTCACTCCCTCTAGCCTTTCCTGGTTCATCCTTCAGATCTCAGTTTAAGTTTTACTTACTTTGAGAACCTTTTGAGCTCCTTCTATTTCGGTCTCCTGCTGTATACTCCACAGGCATCTCATGCATCCATCAAAGCTATCACCATCTTCTAGTATAATTGCTTGTTTAATGCTCTTTCTATACCTCCAGACAGTAAGCTGTTTTATGCACAATTTACATCTGCTCCCCTTGTTATCCCCAGCACCTAAAACAGTGCCAAACCTAAAGTAGATAGTCAGTAAATTCCTCTTGAGTAAGTGCTATGAATGAATACATGCAGCATGCAATTATTTTGTATGTGAAGTATATCATTTACAAAATGAAATTGTGTGGATTTTATAAACCTCATAGTTTTCTCTAGGTGGTGGGGTCAGGGTGAGGGTGAAGTAGAATTTCATTTGCCTTTTTTTTTTCATCAAATTTTAAGATGACTAACAAATAAATGAGGCTGTTTTAAAAAGGAAAAAAAAAAATCATGATTTAGTTAGACATTCTCACAGTCATGGTTATTACAATCTTTTAAAAGGATAAAAAATTAAGCAAGGAAATCATGATCCCCTTAACCTTTCCAGTTCAATAATCAGCATTCAAATGGAGTTATTATGAATAGGAATATTTATCTATATAAATGTTGTGTCGAAAAAAAAGGAAACCACCTAAGTAATTTTCTTTTCATTTACTAGGAATTTACTTTTACACGCTCAGACTCCCAGGCATTCTTATAAGCCATGAAATGACCCAAGTTATTCACATTTGTTCAAAATGTTTTTTAAAAAGCTTATCTAAACAGTAGTTAAATGGAAAACTAATGTTCCTGTTATCGGCTCCCATAAGAACCAACTGCCGTAATTCTGCCTTGCTGATTCTCTACTTCAGGACCCCACCTGGGGAAAATTTACCCACTTTGCTCTTGTGAGCTCTTTACTAGTTTCCTTTCCCTCACTTGTCCTGAGATTGGGTTTATAGTGTCATTCACCGTACTACTGGTTCTTGAAGGGAACAGAATTCTTGTAGAGCCATGGGGTAAGTCCCTAAAGGCACACCGCCAATGGTTGAAATGTAATGAATTCAGAATGGTAGCACAACTGCAAAAATAACTGAATAAATAAATGCTTAAGTATGTGGGTAAAATGAAGACTTAGGCCACACTCCTAGGGCTGGTGGTAACAGAGGACATTGGTGGAGTTCACTCTTCCTTTGGGCTAGAGGACTGTGGGCTGGGAGAGGCGATAAGCAGGGAAAGCTCTGAAATTCAGAATGAAGGAGATGGAATCGTAGTGATAAAGCCTGGACGCAGGATCAGAAAGATTTTGACACAGCTAGTGAGTATGCTCCCAGCACTGATTCCAGCCATGTACCAGCCAATAGATTATGTTACTGTCAGTATCAGGAACATTTAAATAATATAATTTATACTTAATTCAGATCACAGGGTTTGTGTTTCTTTGCTTGCTTGTGTTTGAATTTCAAGTTTAATTAGATGACATTATAAGCTATCCCAACTTTTCTTGGAGTTAGACCTTCCTAAGGGCTTGTGTGCAGCTGTGGACCTTCATAGTTCTCAATACCCTTGGAACTTACTACTGATAGTAACCTTTAGCATAGTAACCATGTTCATAGGCCTAAGGAAAGGCCTTAGATTGCTTTTTTTGTGCCTCTGAAAAATGCTCTAAACACAACATATTTTTTCCCCTTCTATATGTAGTTCAGAGGGCAAGGGGGAAACACAGGTTGGCTGCATATATTCTCATTTACTACACACTGACTTAGTACCTGTCCTTCTAAGCCTCCTTTTCAATCTAAAGCTAGTATATTCCTAACATTTATAAGATTCTTTATGTTTTCTTATTATACATAAAAATGTTTGTTGCTTACACCTTTTATAAGAGTTTTAGGATTATTAAAAATCCATGCTTTATGGTAACATTTTTCAAATGGCTTTAAATACATGTACTAAGCAGAAATATAAAGTTGTTTTCCTGGAGCTTGCAATCTATTTTGGAATTAAAGTTTCTTACATGGATATTTTTTAGGACAAAATAATATGTTAATGGAGCCTTGTTGCTATCTAATTTTAAGTTTACTGCTTTTTCTTATTTTTATTTTCAGCTTTCTAAGAAGTATGGAGTCCATGTTTGTGGAGAAGGTGGAGAGTATGAAACATTCACTTTGGATTGCCCTCTATTTAAGAAGAAAATAATTGTGTAAGATATCATTTCAGCATTTTCTTCCCTTTCCTTAAATTTAAGTGATGGGAGCAACTTAACATTAAGCTCGAGGCAACTTTTGTTGGGAGAAATAGAACATGTCCTCTAAGTTCACAAACACTCAATTTGTTTAATACCAGGGAAGTCGTCTGAATACCTAAATCAATACCTGACAAGACGAGGCCTTCATAGAAGGCTATAAACTTTTTAGACACCGCACTTTCGTTTACTTGCTGATTATGGCCTGCAGTAAAACTGGTACCTACACACTGACACTTTTATCCTTTCATGAAGTGTGAATGGCCTGTATTATTTATCTTTCATTACAGCCACGTTTGATAAACTGCCACATCAGTAGCCTGTGGGTTCCATTAACCCCATCCTCTTTCCCCTTTCTCTTGGCTTTAACAACGTAGAATGGTAACACTCAACATCTCTCTTCAATTATTTCGGGTTGTTTTTACAAATAAACTTTGTTTTTAAGTGAATTTGGTTTATGGTGAGTAGTGTGATTTCTTTGCCATAAATTGTTAAAACTAAGCGTAACAAAAAGCAGGAACTTTCTCCACTTTGTTACATTATTATCCATACTCTAATTTATGTCACTCTTCTCATGTGCTAAGAGAGCACTTTATCTGCTTCCCCTAAGCTCCTCTGCTTCTTGGAGAAGATTGTCAGAATTATGCTTGATTTCAGAAACCCCATCTGATGAAAGACTGGGATTCGGTATTGAACGGACAGCTTCAATATTTTCAGCAGTAAGAGGTGACTTCTTTGTACATAATAATGAGGGAAGGAGTGATCTAAGAAAATTATGACGACTGTAGGTGAATTTTCTAAAAAATACGCTCATCCTGTGAAACGTGGCCAAGACGTTTTTATTAGCATAGGCAGTATTCACTCGCTCTTCTTTCATGTTCTCCTAACTTTTTTCCATCAATAATCATCAACATAATAATTTATTTGACAAATATTTTCAAGTACCTATTTCCAAAGTTTTCTTCTGAGCACCACTGATGTTCAAACAGTTCCTGCCTGAAAGGGCGGGAGGCAGACAATCTGTATATATTGTGATACAAGATGGCATAGGCTAAGAGCCATAAGGGTAAGTTGGTAAATGGAAGATACTTATCTGGCTGTTATGATCACAAAACAGTTCATGAATGAACTGTGCATTAGGTGTTATTTCCATGAAATAAAACTCTGGTTATTCAAGAAAAGCATTTGCATGCTAGGGTGAAATTATAGTATAATTGGAAACTTGCAATATATTTATTTATTAATATGGGACTAACCAAATTAGAAAAAAAAAAAAACAAGATAGGAGAAAAAGTGCCAGAGAATAATGCTTTTCCCATTTACTTGATAAGTTGAGGTCCTAAAGCACCCAGAAGATGCTAGGTCAGCCTAGAATTGTAAGCCATGTGCTCCTTTACCCTACTTTGCAGAAGGCCCATTTGTCACCGTACTTCAGACCTGAAAAGTGAGTCTTTTTCACCTCCTTTTGTAGACAAGGAAGCCTAAGCCTGACTGTCACAATGGCGCGGGGAATTAGTCACGCTGTTAAAGAGAGAGATGGCAGGGGAGGTGTCTTTGAACCCTCTAGTGCCAAAGTGAGAAGCTCAGTTCACCTGGATGATCAGTTACGGAGGCGACTTCTGTGGGCGGGACCCTGCCCTGTAGGAGCTCTTCCTGTGAAATGGGTGCGCAAATCACACGGGAGAAGTGCTCACAGACCTTAAGGGCACAAGCACTGTCTTCATTCTTACTCAGGTGTTAGTCACTCAGAAATCTGATTCTAATGCTTAAGCACCGTCTTTGCTTTTCTCTTCATAGGCTCGGCCTCACCTCAGCTTCATTACTTTCTTACTTGGTTGCTTGTCCCTCGGTTGCCTTCCCCTTTCTCCCCCTGGGCCTAATCCTTCCATTTTTTGAGGCTTCAGCTACCATTGCCCCAGTGCTGTTCTTGTACCTGAACTCTCACAGCACACAGCTGGCACTAACAAAGTATTACTGAGATGACTTGTCATTTATTGTTGTTTATTTTGATGTATCACTTATTTCATGTATTCCAGATTTAGGTTATAACGAGGTTTAAATTGGGACATATCCTAGTTTAAAAAGAAAAAATACTGGTACCTGCTATATACAAAACCTTTGCTCCTCTTTAAAATAGAAAGTGTCCTATGGTTCCTACCGATAAGCATGGTGATGTAAGCGAACATGACTGCTCACTCAGAAACGGTATGGAGAGGGTTGTTTCACTCAGAGATAATTTTCTCTATGATACAATTAGAAATGTTCAGTTTAGTCCTGTAACTGTTTGTTAACAATTGACCATGGATAATATTGGAACCTGTGACTCAGAAGTCACTTTTGGGACAAATTTCACTGATTTTCATATTATATTTGATGGAATATAATTAGCATACAACTAATTGATTACTAGGAATCCCATTTCAAATGTCTGATTCAAATTTTTTTTAACATAAAAAGGCGAAGATCGCCTATAACAGAAGAAAAAAATAAACTTTTATATGCAAAAATGATTTTATTATAATTAGGGATTTTTTTAAAAATATAGACTGACTCTTTTTTGTATAATGAAGAAATTTAGAGAAATCAACATGGTTCTAGCAGTTTATTATGAGATACATTTTGCCCCAAATTATAATAATGTTTTTAAAATCTTATAGGAAATACTGGTATAGCAGTCTGGAAGTAATTTTTTAAAATTCTAACTAGAACATTTTACAACTCACTTTTCATGTCAAAGGTTAGTATGTGATCACTAACCTATATATACAAATTTTTACATCAGAAAATAAGGGTTTTTTTCCCTGAGGAGCCTTGATGCAAAGATATAGCCTAGTCTTTAAGAAAAATGGATAACTGTAGGCCCTTAAATAAATAACCTATTTTCTCATTCTTACTTCAAATATATGTATGTAGCATATCAGAAATAAGAACTAAAATCCTATTGTGTTAATAAAAATAATAATTTTCTTCTCTTTGTTAATGAACACATGGTTTTAATGTCAGTATTTGATACAGCCACGTTTCCACTTGAGTTACCAATATTACTATACTAGTGCTACAGAGTTGCTACATANACCGAGGCTCGTCTGTAGCAAGAGCTGGCCTATGCTCGGTTTCACCGATGTGTGAGGCCCACCCTTAGCTAAGACTTCACAGGGGCAGCTGAGTCAGGCCTCAGCCTCTGTTCTCTGACACCAGGCTCTCAAGGTGTGAGGTCAGGCAGGCTCTATCCCCTCACTTCAAACCAAACAAACTCACAAACAAAAACTGATATTATCTCTTGAGACTCAGCCATGGTCTTGATTCCTCCCTCTTCCCTAAAAAGACAACTGCACACATATATTCCCTGTGGATGCACACCCTCGCAGACATCTCCAGTGTCATTTCTGTGAAGCCTTCCCTGGCATCCTCAGACAGTGCGAGTTTTCTCCTTTCCCTGTTTTGGTAATGCATTTATAGCCCTTTCGCAACACATCCACTCATAATTGTGGCTTTGTGTGTTCCTCTTCCTTAGAGAGGGACCAAGCTTTGCTCCTCTCTGTCTACTTGCCCCCCACCCCATCTCTTCCACCTGCTCAGTACAGAATACATTGCCTGGTATTCATTAGACATTTGTTAAATAAACAAATAAATGTATAGTTAAATTCTGTTAAGTATCTTCACATTTACACAGTATCTATTGAAACTATCACAAAGACACACTGGTTTTTCAATTACTTATCTTCACAAAATACATACTTTTTCCTACATGCATACTGCCATGTATAATATGTACATATATATCCACACATAGATACCATTAACGCCTTATAGTATCTCTGGCCTAATAAAAATAAAGCTTCATGGGTCTAAAAACTTAAATACAAGAAAAATAGTTGATAAATTTAAATAAATTCTATATTAAAACAGTATGTACCCATTTTCCCCACCTATTCCTATTTTCTACCCATTCAAGACATAACTCAGCACAGAGCATAGTAATGTGGCATTTAGCACATCTATGCTTTATCATCTGGGAATTTATTTAAATTTATCAACTATTTTTCTTGTATTTAAGTTTTTAGACCCATGAAGCTTTATTTTTATTAGGCCAGAGATACTATAAGGCGTTAATGGTATCTATGTGTGGATATATATGTACATATTATACATGGCAGTATGCATGTAGGAAAAAGTATGTATTTTGTGAAGATAAGTAATTGAAAAACCAGTGTGTCTTTGTGATAGTTTCAATAGATACTGTGTAAATGTGAAGATACTTAACAGAATTTAACTATACATTTATTTGTTTATTTAACAAATGTCTAATGAATACCAGGCAATGTATTCTGTACTGAGCAGGTGGAAGAGATGGGGTGGGGGGCAAGTAGACAGAGAGGAGCAAAGCTTGGTCCCTCTCTAAGGAAGAGGAACACACAAAGCCACAATTATGAGTGGATGTGTTGCGAAAGGGCTATAAATGCATTACCAAAACAGGGAAAGGAGAAAACTCGCACTGTCTGAGGATGCCAGGGAAGGCTTCACAGAAATGACACTGGAGATGTCTGCGAGGGTGTGCATCCACAGGGAATATATGTGTGCAGTTGTCTTTTTAGGGAAGAGGGAGGAATCAAGACCATGGCTGAGTCTCAAGAGATAATATCAGTTTTTGTTTGTGAGTTTGTTTGGTTTGAAGTGAGGGGATAGAGCCTGCCTGACCTCACACCTTGAGAGCCTGGTGTCAGAGAACAGAGGCTGAGGCCTGACTCAGCTGCCCCTGTGAAGTCTTAGCTAAGGGTGGGCCTCACACATCGGTGAAACCGAGCATAGGCCAGCTCTTGCTACAGACGAGCCTCGGTTGTAGGAGAGGTATTGAGGGAACTTGTTACTTGTATTAATAGGGAGAGAGGAGGGGAGCCAACTGGGAAACATTTTTGCTGTGGCATAAATGGCATTAATTTTCTGGTTTACTCTGAGGATATTCCGGCAGGTTCTGCTCTAAGTTTCAGAGAAATCCATGAAGGCAGACAGAAACAGAGATCCTTAAAAGTTGAGCTTCAGATGAGAGTTTATGAAAGAGAAAAGAGCAAGAGTGGCATTATTCTGTTTGAAACTAAACACTGTTCATTTGACTGAACAGTGACTCTGGCTTTGTGTGAGTGAAGTGATGCTGGTCATTAGAGATTATGGATTTTATAGAATACATAAGTACCATATTCTTCTTTGTTTAGTGATTGGAGTGTTATGTATTTTCTGCGAATAACAATCTTGATTCAGAATGAAGTAGTTCCATCAATTAAGTGAGCTATTTGCTATCAACCTTCTGTTTCTGGTGGAGGTAACCGGCAAGAGAAGGAAAGGCCGGAAACCCTTTCCCCTGCCACAGCATTGGTGGGGTTAATTATAGTTTTGGGGCGCTCCATTATCAAGGATAAAAGCCAAGCTGCCTAGATTAGGCATAATTAAGGCTCAAGGTCATTTCCAAAGCTGGGATCAGGAACAGAGAGATTGAAATTTAATGTAAGAGTGAAATTGTACACAGGAGTTGGAATTTGAATCTGATTGATGAGCCAAGTGACAGGACCAGGACAGGCAACCCTGGAGTAAATGGAAAAACAGCAAGACTAGAGCTAACAAACCAAGAGAGGTCAGGCAGAAGAGCACTGTAGAAAGCAGGGGGGACTTCTCTTTATTCTCTTTCTCCTCCTGCACATGATACCTGGAGGCAGCTTTCGGTGATGTAGCCTGTGAAGGCAGGTTATATCTTTCTATTAGTATTCGGACTCTTTACTGATTCTATTTATATTATGTTTCTTTTTAATGTCATAAAAGCCCTTTTTATTTTTATTTTCCTAAACACTAACAGGGTGCATATTTGATACTAAAGGTTCATGAATGGCAGTGACTTTTTTATTACCATAAAACATTTTTTTTCTCTCTTATCTTTCAAGGGGAAAGTAAACACATTTTGCCCATGACGATTTAGTATTTTGAAGTCAAATATTTTGATAGGTTTCTTCTATTGCCACTAAATAACTTCGCATTTCACAAGTTAATTCAAAAAATATCTTACTTTAGTGGCAGAGTCAAATAAAGAAACTTATTTCTCTGTACTACAATGGGTAAAATGCTAACAACATGTTAACATAAACAGTGGCACTAGTTCCCAAGGCATTTAAGAAATATGAGGAATTTCTATTTTTAAATTTTAGCTGGAATGCATAACACTATTGCTTTCTTAATAAATAACAATAAAAAATAATTACTTATTAGAACTTCACACATAATCATAGTTATTCATATGTGCTTTCCAGGGTATCTTTGATAAAAGTTGAGTTAATTTACATGTATCCATATGGTGCCAGCAAGCAGTACATACCATTTTACCTGAATGTGGTAATTACTATGTCAGGCAATCAATTTTAGTAGCAATGATATTACAGTGTGAAGAGTTCATCTAGAGCTTAAAAGCATCACCAGTCCTGCTTTTGTGAAGGGTAATTGAGATTTTGTGTGAAACACCGAATGAATTACCTCTTGAAAATGAAAGGAATAATGAAGATAAAGCCTCTATTGTTTAATGGTTAGCCCATACCAAGCAAATTTTTTAAAATGAAATCGAATAGGAGTTTTAAGTCTCAAAATTATTCAGAGAGCATTGGGTGAACCTGGAAGTCCAACTATGTATCCTCATAAAGATGAAAAGCTTTTTTATTTTTCTTGGCAATTTAGTAATCTTGATTACTTTCCCAATTAAATGTTGGATTATTAAAAATAGATGTTATTTACTAGTGGAAATAAATACAAAATGGGGATTTGTTTGGTCTCTTCTAGTCGCTGGCAGGAGTTATTTGATGCAGTTTATGTAGTCCATGAATACATTATAGAATCTTGTGTTTCAGAGATTCGTCAGAAGTGGTCACCCATTCAGCTGATGCGTTTGCACCTGTGGCTTACTTACGCTTTCTGGAATTGCACTTGGAGGACAAGGCAAGTAAACCTGAGATTCACAGTGATTTCAAGAGACAATTGAGACATGTGCATTGGCTCTGTATATATGATACTATAACAACAGATGAAAGGGTAGAAAAATGATTTTATCGTTAGTGATTTTTTTTTTAGATCCTCTGTCAATGACTGAGAATTTTGCAAATGTTTATAGTTTGTTTTAAGAGCTTTATATGGTACAAAAGATACTCCATTTCCGAAGAGTTTGTAGTTCAGTTGAAAAGGGAATCATATATATATACACGTTTATCAAGGAGAAGACAAGGCAGTAATAACCAAATATTAAATTATCTAGTAAAATAAGAATTAGGTAGTTGTGCATAAGCCTTAGGCAGGGGTGGGGAACCTTTTTTCTGCCAAGGACCATTTGGATATTTATAACATCATTTGCAGGCCATATAAAATTATCAACTTAAAAATTAGCCTGTTATATTTGCTCAGACATTTAATTAACTCACCCCTAATGTGATGGCTGGAACTTCTGTTGCCTTGGAGGGCCAGACCAAGTGATTTCGAGGGTCTTACTGCCCTTGGGTCCGACATTTCCCATCCCTGCCTTAGGGGAAAGGTTTGAGGATTAATTTGATTTTTATCATGCAAAGTTTAAAAGAGAAGAAAAGGAGAAATAAAAGCTTTCCAAAAGCATCCAAGGGATCAGAAGTACCAGTAAAAGATGAAAAGTAAGGCAGAAACATCAATCAGTTACCTCCCACGTGTGCCCTGACCAGAGATGAAACCTGTAGCCTTTTGGTGTGCAGGACGACGCTCCAACCAACTGAGCCATACCGGCTGGAGCAAAAGTTTTACTTAAATACATTGATTGTCAAGATACAGCAGAATGTCAGTTTAAAGACCTGGATTAGACCCTTAGATTATAAGCTCTGCTCCTTGAGATGTAAAGGATTGGAAAAAGCCTTCTACATCTTTAGCATTTTATCACCAAGTCTTGAGACATGCCCACATTTATTTATATGATAGGGACTCTGAAGGATCCAGAAGGTTAGTGGGCATTGGTAAAGGAAGGGGAAAAAATGGCAACCCCTGAAATCTCAGCATGAGCAAGTTTCCAAAAGTAGAGAATAGTTATTGGTGTCATTTCTCCAGAAAAATTAGGATAAACAGGATTGGAAATAGATCATTGAATTTGTCCAGAAGATGACTATGGATGACCTTTTACCAAAAAGTTGGTAACCCTGAGAATGAAGCTATATTATCCAAACATCCTTCAGACCCACTGAAAGGAGGCCCTTACTTTAGGTCTCTGCTACATTTGCTACCATGTGCTAACACAGAAAATCAAAACCACTGAATTCTTACTTAGACGTGTTGGCTGTTATATGTTCTGCTCTACCTAAGTAGCTAATTATTCACCTCGTTTTGGTATTTCATTGGTTTTCATAGTCCCATTTTCCTTCTTGAGGAAAAAAATGTTATTTCTTTAATGTGGGATCCTCACTGACACTGAATAAATATGATGCATTTCTCTTTCTTCTTTTAGGTGTCCCCAGTGACTGACAACTACAGAACATCTCATTATATACACAATTCTTAAAAGGGGGTTTTGAACATTGTTTACTTAGCTGCCATTTTTATATGAAAAAATATTACATTACATTTTCTCAATTATCATGTCCAGCTTTTTCTCATTACATTTTTACCATCAGAAAAAGTTAATGCAACCATTGATTAATTGGGGAAATATGGATGCCATGTTCACTCTATTGTCCGGTTGCTCGGGGTTTACTCTCACTTGTATAATCACCTCCTGTTCATGTCCTCTGTTCTACAGGATATGTGTCCTTTTTTTTCTCTTTTTACTTTGCTTCATACACAACCCTCACTTCTATGACATTTTTCACTTTTATCGCACTGCTTTATTTTCCTCTTTGTCTCTCTCCTGCTCTGTGTCTGCCAGTAGCATCATGTGCAGAGCACTTGAAAGTGCGGATGAAAAGCCACTTAGCCAACCGACTTCATTCTGTTCAGTGTCACCGAAGTGCTCTGTCGTTTTGCTTTTCAGTATAGTCATCGTTTCAGCATTATTGGACGTTCAGGAAGACTATCATTAACTCTTACCAGTTATTTTATAACTGATTTTTAAAAAGCAATTTTTCAGTATTACCTGTGCTGATTTTAGGCAACTTTTATAAAATAGACTTTATGTTTTAGAGCAGTTTCGATTTCACAGCAAAACTGAGTAGAATGTACAATTCCCATGTACACCCTGGCCCCACACAAACAGTCTCCCCATAATCTACATCCCCCACCAGAGTGGTATATTTGATACAATTGATGAGCCTACATTGACATACTGTAATCACCCACAGTTCACAGTTTACATTGTGATTCACTCTTGGTATTTGCTGTCCATTGGGCAGATGCATACTGACATGATCCATCATTATGTGTTGTACAGAATATTTTCACTGCCCTAAAAATTTTCCATGCTCCCCCTATTTATTGGTTACCCCCACCCCAACTTCTGCCCACCATTGATCTTTTTACTGTCTCCGTAGTTTTGCCTTTTCCAGAATGTCATATAGTTGGAATAATATAGTATGTTGGCATTTTAGATTGGCTTTCACTTAGTAATGTGCATTTAAGGTTTCTCCATGTCTTTTCATGCATTTTTAAGTGCTGAATAATATTCCATTGTCTGGATGTACCACAGTTTATCCATTCACCTACTGAAGGACATCTTGGTTGCATCCAGGTTTTTACAATAATGAATAAAGCTACTATAAAACATTCAGGTGCAAGTTTTTGTGTGGACATAAGTTTCTTTTAACTCTTGGGGTAAATACTAAGGAGCACAATTGCTGGATTATATGGTAAGAATGTTTAGTTTTACAAGAAACCACTGACTGTCTTCCAAAGTGGCTGCACCATTTTGCATTTCCACCAGAAAAGAATGAGAACGCCTGTTGTTCTGCATCCTATATCCTTGCCAGATTTGGTTGCTGTCAGTGTTTTGTTTTGCCATTTTAATAGGTATTTACTGGTACCTCATTGTTGTTTTAATTTGCATTTCCCTGATGATATATGATGCGGAGCATCTTTTCATATGCATATTTGTCATCTCCAAATCTTCTTTGGTAAGGTATCTGTTAGATCATTTGCCCATTTTTTTAATTGAACTCCTTGTTTTCTTACTGAATTGTAAGAGTTCTTTGTATATTTTGTAAAATAGTTTTATCAGCATTATATTTTGCAGATATGTTCTCCAGTCCATGGCTTGTCTTCTCATTCTCTTGGCACTGTCTTTCACAGAGAAGGTTTTAATTTTAATAAAGTTCAGTTTACCAGTTATTTCTTTCATAGATTATGGCTTTGGTGTTGTATATACAATGTCATTGCCAAGCCCAAAGTCATGTAAATTTTCTCCCATGTTATCTTCTAGGAATTCTGTAGTTTTGTACTTTACATTTGTGTCTGTGATTCATTTTGCGTTGATTTTTGTAAAGGGATATAAGGGTTGTGTCTAGATCTATTTTTAAATATGTGGATACCTAGCAGTTCTAGCACCATTTATTGAGAAGACTATCCTACATCCATTATATTACCCTACTCCTTTGTCAAAGATCAGTTGACTGTATTTGTGGGGACCTATTTCAGGGTTCTCTGTCTTTTCCCATTGATCTTTTTGTCTTTTTTTTTTTTTTCGCCAATACCACAACTTCTTGATTACTGTTGCTTTGTGGTATTTCTTGAAGTCAGGTAATGTCAGTATTCTGACTTTGTTCTTCTCCTTCAATATTGTGCTGACTATTCTAGAGCTTTTACCTCTCCGTATAAATGGTAGAGCCATTTGGTTAATGTCCACAAAGTAACATTGCTGAGATTTTGATTGGGATTACACCGAATCTATAGGTCAAGTTGGAAAGAACTAACAGTTTTAGTCTTCCTACCCATGATCATGGAATATCTCTCTGTTCATTTGGTTCTTGTTTGATTTCTTTCATCAGAGTTTGGCTTAGACATATTTTTATCTTCATTGTTATAACTTTATATGTTAAATTTTGCCTCCTTCAGGACTTAAATGTTTTTGCAAATATAAGCTTTGCAGTTGCATTCTTACTGTGGATCCAGAGAGAATCAGTGAGAATCCCTTTCCCAGACATCCCATTTCATCTCAGTGGCCTGAGTAAAGCTTTGCCCAAGTCACTAGCTTTACTTCTGAGCCAACCCAGATAGGAGAGAAGGGAATTCTCTAGGGGATTCTCCTTGATACTATTGGCCATCATCTCTTTGAAAATGCCCCCCTGTAATGGTTATATATCATTTTTTTATTCTGACTTGACTTTTCTCTCAAGATTTCTTTTACCTCCTTCAGCAGCTTCCCTGCTTCCTACCTTCAGCATGCACGCATGCCTCAACTTCTTATGTTTCCATTCTTTTTTAATATTTTCTCTTTTAGGGATTTTGTCTTTTCCCACAAGTTTACATTTCACTTCTGTGCAGATGATTCTCGGGTCGATCTCTTTCTGGTCATTCTGCTAGTATCTACTTTTATTTCTTCACTCTTAATCCTTCTCACCAGCTGTTGGACATGACTGCCATTGTATCAAGCTCGTAGGTACAAACCTGGAACTCATTTCCCCCTCCAAGTATTCTTTTTCCCTGTTTTTGTTATTTAACACAACTGTTCTTCCCCTATCAACTCAGGCACAGGCTGTTGGCACATGTCTTACAAATGTCTCTCCTCTACCATGAACATTCAGTTGGTTATCTAGTCCTGTGTGTGTTAGCTCTGATATTCCTCTTACGCCATTCTATCTCCATGCCCATATCTCTAAAGTTGTATCTTGACCAAACTCTTAGTCAAGATAGAACTCTTTCAGTGGACTCCTTGCTCTCATCTGCGCCATACTCTATTCCAGTGCCATATTGATTTTCCTTTCTAGTTTTTGTTTCTGCATAAAAATCCATAACCATGCTAACAGCGCTGTATTTTTTTCTAAATAAAGATGCTTAGCCATGAATTGAGGAGCATCAGACATGTTGCCATAACGTCTTTTTTCAGTCTTGCTCCCAGGACTCCCTACATGCACCCTTTTCTCCAGATACAGAACCATGGGATACGCTCTCACAGTGTCTTCTGCTTCCCCCATCCCTGACCTTAGCTTATTCTTTCTTCTCTGTCTTTCTTCTTCCATCTTTAACTGTTTACATTCTACCCATGATGAAGGATTGAATACAAATACTCTTATACATTACCCACACAGATGGCCTGCCCTAACACCTTGTTTCTTCTGTTCTCGTGACAGATAGCTTCATCGGCCTTAAGTTATAGCTGTTTAAAAACTTATTGTGTCTACTAGCTTATAAATTTATTGAGGACTGTCCTTTTTTTATCTTCATACCCTTTGTGATAGCTATTCCACAATAAGAATTTTTGAATTTAAATGATTAGTATTTTCATACTTCATTTTTTCTTCCTACAGAATTTGAAAGACATGTGCTTCCGTTTTATTTTGCACACCATTTAATGAAAGTCACTTTCTTCTTTATTTTTCTTTTATCTGTTGTTAGAGAAAAATGCCCCGAACACACTGAAATGTAAAATACAACATTTTGAGGGGGTTTAAGTGTTCACTTACGTTATCACTAAGATTTTCACTCTATATATGATAACCCTTAAACTTTTCTACTGAGTAATTTATTTAAATTTTTTCTTAAGTCAAAATCTTAAAGTATTTATGTGAGTGTATCAAGTATATCAACTAAACAGGGGATCCCAAAGAAAATAACTGAAAAATGGTAAGCTCCAGGTTGAAAATGGGGAAGTATATTAAAATTTCTTTTGGGGCCCTGACTTTATTGCTCATGGCAAACTTGATGCTAAAATATACCATACATCACAGCAGTGACAGGCTTGAGAAAATGAAAGGTACAAAGCTTTACATAAATCAGCCAAAAGATCATATAAAATGCATAACCTTTACAGAAGAATCAGGACTTTTGCTTTTAACTACTCAGAAGCCCTTCTTTCCTTATAAAGTAGTTGTTTTAGATTTTTCGAACAGCTTTATGGGAAATAATATTTCATATTAACTGTTGGCAAAGCCATTGCATTTATAAAGAGACAAGGTTCACAAAAATTTACTCCCAGTTTTACTAATGTATCCTATTATCACTTAGCACTTCATTTTGTTTTTTATTGAAATCATCTCATGGGACAATTATATATGTTATATAATTATAAAAGTTCACATTCCTAGAAGTTTGTAACTTTTAAAAACACCATATTCTCATAGCCCATTCTTGGCCCTTTCATTTTATTTTGCTTTATTTCAGAAATATAAAATATATTGAAAGAAATTATAACATTAAACTGTCTCTGTGCTTTTATTTTTATTTTTCTCTTCAGTTCAGCAAATACCTGTGAGTACCTGCTCTGTTTAAACACTGTTAGGCCTACATGGAATTCACTATAAATATGGGCAAATTACAGTGTAATTATAATTATAACTTTAAATGGAAGTTATTCAGTCATTATTCTCAGCATTGTGATGACAGTGATACATGCCACTGGCTTGGCTAATCTGAGCTGTAGTATGGCCATAATGTTGACTCAAAATGAAAAGTGATGTGCATGATATGATCCTGTTTCTCTAAAAAATACTGGTGGAGGCAGGGAGCTTATATATTTATTTATACTTGAGGGAGGATAATAAGAGGTGGGCATATAATAATCAGACTGATAATACTGCTTTCTTTGGGGAAAGTGGGCATGAAGGGGAAAATACAGAAAAGCTTAATTCTTTATAATTTCTGACTTCATACAATGGGCATGTAGATTTAAATTTTAAAATACTTGATTAAGAAAATTAACTGATAGGGTGACGTGGCTCAGTGGTTGAGCATCGACCAATGAACTAGGAGATCACAGTTTGATTCCCGGTCAGGGCACATGCCCAGGTTTCGGGCTGGATCCCCAGCAGGGGGCGTGCAGGAGGCAGCCCATCAACGACTCTCTCATCATTGACGTTTCTGTCTCTCCCTCTCTCTTCCTCTCCCTGAAATCAATAAAGACATAGTTTTAAGAATAAGTGAAAAAAAGGTTTTCTTTTAAAAGAAGAATCCACTGAGAATCCTGGGCTTCAGTGGTGGCAGATTTAAACCCAGATTGAGGGTGATAAGAGTAGTCCTTTGATCAGAGGGCAGGTAGTGCTGGTTGCTGTGGTGGTTGGAATAAGGTACGGAAGGGGTAAGGCTCTTGCCAGAAGCCGGTAGATAGTTATTCAGTAAGTTGGAAGAGAGGTCAAAAGAAAATATTCAGAATGAAACGGGAAAAACAAAGATAGAAACACATTTAGAAGCGAAGAGAAAAAGAAACAGTGAGCAAGGCTTAAAATACATGTAAATAGAGTATGAAAAAGAGAGGGATAATGGATACATAGTGCAATATTTGTAAAGATGCTGAGAACTTTCCAAAACTGATGAAACACACCAAGGTACAGATTCACGAAGTCTTATGAACCACAAACGAAGTGAAAAGATAATAATATTTAGGCATATGAATGATAGAACTGCTGGAAACAAAAGGCAAAAATAACCGAAAACAGCCCACGTATGTTAAAAGCAGGCTACTTTCAAAGAAGCAACTATTAGAATGAAACCTAATTACTTAAGAGGGGGGAAAAAAGCCAGAA